ATCAACTTGTCATTCATCTGTGTTCAAGAGCTAAGCAAGGATATTCTCGTTGGAAAAAGAAGGGAACTTATGGTGCTGTGATTACATTGAAGCTATTCAAGTCTGATTAAGTTTATTGACGAAAGTCCCCGAGGTTTTCAAGAAATTTACTGCATGACTATGTGAGCAGCCCTCCTGCGGATGTTTGTACATAATTATAGTATGGACTGCTGTCATTGTTTTGTTGTTATTGAATTATTGCATACTTTTTCCATCAAGGATAAATCACAATACGTAGCAAGGTTAGTCAATCAAATGATGAGATAATTAGAAACGACCTGTGTCAAATGTGTGGATAAATCCTCAAAAGATCTAGTTAACCTTTGCAGCAGATGATATACCTGTGAGATTGGCGAAGAGGAACTCAGAACTGCACAATTTAAATGGCAAATTTCTCGCAAACCCCTACCCATTCAATGGGAACAATACACCCCCCTAAAATCCCGAACAGATATGGTCGCTTCTTCTCGTAGAATAGTTTTGATAACCTCCCCGGCTCTCATTCCTCCTTCTCCTCAGGAGAAATATTCATGCATGTGGTTCAAGGATTATATAAGTTTACTTTTTAGAAGACAAACCTAACTTACTTACAAATCAGTCGGATGAAACAGAGGTTCTTTCACTGGTAAAGGCATTATGGTGTAAAAAAAGATCAGAACAAGCACTTCACTATTTTTATTTTACGATTGAAAAAGACATTGTTGTAGTTTGAAGATTTTTCCTACACATAATATCTCCATAAAAGTCTCGTGAGTTTGATGGAAAATGTGAGAGAATATCCAACTGCTTTTAAACTTTTAGACTTCGATGGCGCAAGGCAAAAGAGCCTTAGCTGTATAATATTAAATTCAATCGAATCATTTTACAGCTCGCAACATCATGGACGCTTCGAACGTCATTTTGCAGAACATATAGCGAATTTAACTATATTCCCAAATTTATATAAGGCCCTAAGCTAGAAAACGTGTTTGAATACCTTTTTCCACAATCAACTCGCCGAAGAGGCGGAACAAGTGGTTCTAAACATAAAAATCGACCATGTATGATGTTTTTGAGGTTATCTAAAATGATTAAGATGATTGAGATTGAGATTGGAAAAAAAACAAAATACTCTCCTCGTTTCACAAAAAAAAACCACTGTATGTAGGTAATTCTATAATAGGATATACCAAAATGAACATATAGTCATACATCAAAGAGAATTATTCATTTTTACAAAGTTATGGCATGCACATATAGTCATTAAGATTCTTAAGTAAAACATATTCTTAAGTAAATCCATATCTGGTAGCTAACTAACCGTAAGTAGTCAAAAGTGATGAGGAAGTTCTTTGCGCACCGGATTACGATACCCAATAAGACAGTAATCGGTTGGAAGACATAAACTTTATAATACATTACACTATAATCATTAGATGTGGTAAGGTGATGGTTTAAACAAAATTGAGCACATATAAAGTGCTATGAATACAGGAGTTATAGAGAATAACTTGACACGCAGTCGGTAGCACCTACGAGCAACAGAGGCTGAACATATCAGGTAATCGTTCAAATGTTGTAAGCAATATTGATTTAGCCTATGGCTTGGGAGATTGCGCTGTCTGCGAAGGTTTATCCAGGACTATAGTTCCCACATCGTAAGTTTCAGGAACAAACACCTTGAATTGG